AAAAAAAAAAAAAATCCTTAACGCAACAGCTGGGCACTGGTGGTTCACATCAGTGATCCTAGGTACTCAGGCCGCTGAGACCTGAGGATCACAGTTTGAAGCCAGCCCAGGCAGGAAAGTCCATGAAACTCTTACCTCCAATAAACTATTCAAAAATCCTGAAGTGGTGCTGTAGCTCAACTGGTAGAGTGCTAGCCTTGAGCAAAAGAATCTCACAGACAGTGCCCAGGCCTTGCGTTCAAGCCCCAAGATCACACACACCCACACATACCCACACCCATCTTTAGTCCAAACTGGCTGACTAGCCATTTTCTGATTCTTTTTCTCTTCTGAAGAGAATTAAATGGTCTGTAGGGACCCTCTCTTAGCTGGCTTTTCTAGGGAGGGCTATGTTGAACCACCTCCAACAAGGAAGGAACCCCAAGTTCAGGCCCAACCCCAGCACAGGAAAAGACAAGCAAGACAAGAGGGAAGACAGGAGGTGTTGAGGTTATTGGGAGAGGACTTATAAGGGCAGAAAGAGCCAAGAGGGGAGGGATATTGAGGAGAAAAACTAGCCAGAGAATGACTAAGGGGCTCCCGGGTAAACAGGAGCTGGGAATGGACAGGAGGGGGGGGGCTGTTTGAGTTGGCCAAGGCTGGGGGGGGTGAGGAGTGGGGAGGAGGCTTGGGGCAGGACACTCTGTCCCCTGTCCCCCCCACCAAAGCTCCTGGGAGGTGCTGAGTCACACACCTCCCTCCCTGCATCCCAATCAAACTCCATCCCAAGCTCCCAAATCCTGGGAAAAATAAAAATCTAAAGAGAGCCTGACTGAAAGAAAGGAGAAAGCTTGATTCACACATGTGGGCTTTGCCGTCAAGCCTCTATCTTCCACTCAAAGGGAGTTCCCAGCCCTGAGGCTGGTTTCCACTAGAGGTTACCTTTAGGCACTTTTGTGCTTCAGAGGCTGACCCAAAGATTCCTTAGGTTTCTCGCCTGAGGGGTCAGGACCTGCAGATGTGAGCTTGGGACATGGCCAGCCTCATCCCTCAAGTCTGCTCAGCTGGCCTCTCCCTACGGCCTGCAGCTGGCTCCAAAGGGGGTTTTTGAACTTCTTGCTGGGTGCCAGGACAGGAAGTAGAGTAACCATGAGGGGAAGACTGTGGCAGGGAGAATAACATTGACCCACACACTCCCACCCCACCCCAGGGTGGACTAGGGTACAGGACAGGAAGAGAAGGGCAGGGTTTGCTTGGGAAGGGGTATTATTCTGGAAGGGGAGGAGCCCTGGAGGAAAAAAAAGCAGGAAAGGAACTGGAAAGGCAAAGGGGTTAGGAGAGAATTTAGGTCCCCTCCCCCAGACAAAGATAAAGACTAGAATCCTGAAAGGTGATCTCATCACTCTAAGCCCACAGCTTGGAGGAAGGGGCAGCAGGGGGTCACTGCCTTCATTTACAGTCCCTTCTTCTACTTCCACCAGGGGTGTGAGAGAAAATAGGAGTTCTGGGTTCCAGCTCCCAGATCTAACAGAAGCTGAAAGTTAGGGCCCTGTAGAGACCCCACCACCACCACCACCACCCACTCCTCATAATTCTCCAGGCTCGTAGGTCAACTTGATCAAGGTCCTGAGGAGCCAATCACTCAGTGCCGACCTCCGGGTCCACTTTGAGAACCCAGAAACGGGCTTAGACCCAAGTCTCCATGTCATACAGCCAAGAAGCTAGAGAGAATCGGGCCAGCATCCTCCTGGTGAGTGACACCCACACCCCAAACTCCTGGGTTTTCCATTCTTTCTGCTTAAAGTGGGGTAGAGGAAGAAGGAACCCGTGGAGATCCTTTTCTTATTAGGCTGATTGAGAGAATGTGTACTCTTGTACCTCGACTGCACGGGCAGGAGTCTCAAACAAATCCGGCTGGCCCAAATCCAGGCACCCAGTGGCCCCGGAAGGCAAAAGGGGGGAAATCCCAATTGGCCAGGGGCCAGAGGAGTCTCCTCCCTGAAGAAATAGAGGAGACCCCACACACACAATATACAGCCTCCCCCCAGCCCTCCCGCCACCCTCCAGAGGTGATTCCTTTCCTCATTAGGAAATTCTCCGCTCCCTTTTTTCCGACTCCTTTTCCGAGCGTTTACGTTTTACATCTGGAAGGGAGGAGGAGGAGGAAGGAGGGGAGGAGGGTTGGAAGAACCCCAGCCCGCCCAGTCTGACCCGGGCCAGACAACCGGCCTCCAGCTAGGGCTGGGGCTGGAGAGGTGGGAGAAGAGGAGAAGGGGGTTGGAGAGGTGCGGGACCTTTTCGAGGTCGGGGGGGGCGCCCGCAATCGGCGTTCCGGGGACCCAGGAATGCCCCCCCGCCAGCCCTCTCGGCGGGCGGGGGGAGGGCTCAGCCGGGAGTTTGGCAAACTCCTCCCCGCGTTGAGTCATTCGCCTCTGGGAGGTTTAGGAAGCGGCTCCGGGTCGGTGGCCCCAGGACAGGGAAGAGCGGGCGCTATGGGGAGCAGGGCGCCTCGGTCCCCTCTCCACGCCGGGCAGCTGCGCTGGGGGAGCAGGCGCCGACCCCCGCTGCCCCCGCTGCTGCCTCTGCTGCTGTTGCTGCTGCTGCCGCCGCCCCTATCTAGGGTCGGGGGCTTCAACTTGGAGGCCGAGGCCCCTGCGGTGCTCTCCGGGCCCCCGGGCTCCTTCTTCGGCTTCTCGGTGGAGTTTTACCGGCCGGGCACCGACGGGTGAGTGGCGAGGGTTGGCGGCGGGATGGGTGTGCGTGCGTGTGTGTTGTGCGTGTGCGTGTTGGGAGACCGCCTGGAGAAGACTTAAGGAAGGAAAGGGGGGCGCGCGCCTGGGGTCTGGAAGGGACCAGGGCGGAGTTTGGAAGGACCAGAGCTGGAGTTTGGAGGGGGGGTGCCCATGCGAGAGTTGGGGGTCGAGAGGGGGGTGGCCCGGCGCGGCGGGGGCCTGCAGTCTCAGCCGATCGGTGGTAGACATGGGGGGGAGAGGACACGAAGCTAAAAGCTGCCGAAGTCTGGGCAGGAGTCTCAGAGCCAACCGAGAGGAAGAGGGCATGAATACAGAGCTGAGGGGGTCTCCGGCTGAGATCTGGAGGGGTCCCAGGTGGAAGGGACCTGAGGCCGGTTGGAGGGGCGCAGAGGGAGGTGTGGAGACCGGGAAGGGGTTTAGTGCGGAGGGTTCCACTGGGGAACCTCAGGATCCAGGGGGCCCATTGTGCGGAGAGGAAACGGATCCGGGCTGGGTGGACTGTGCGTGTAGTTAAGAGAGAGGAGACAGACTGAAGGGGTTGGAAGGTTAAATGGGGGCCAGCCTCATCCTCCCCTCCCCCCTCGAGCCCAGCCGGGAAAAGACCTGGGAAGGAGGGGGAGGACGGCCCCCTCCTCTTTCTCCTCAGTCTCCTGCTCCGCCTTCCACCTCCAATACATTTGGACAAGGCGGGCGGAAGGGAGGGGGGATCCAAAAATTTGTGGAGAACCCCAGGTCTTTGGGACTGGGGGCTCTGGGGTTGGGGTGGGGGTCGGGCTCAGCCGAGGGCGGGTACACGGATGTGTCGGGAGGGGTGTGTGTGTGTGCGCGCGCGGGCGAGAAGGGGGGTGGTGGGCGGTTTCCCTCTTCCTCTAACTCTGGGGAGGAAGAGAAAAGCTGATTTCCTGTAGCTTGTCGGCTGCCGCTGAACTGAGACCCAGCTCGTCACTTCTGGGGCTGGGGTCGGAAACTAAGCGGGAGATACTACCTCCGTGAACCCAAGAATGTCAGAATCAAGGTCCCGCAGGACCCTGAAAGACTCAAAGGAAGATTCTGGGCCACCTAAACCCTGAATGTCTATAAAAGTGGGGTGCCCACAAACTTGGGGGAGATTGGAGTTAGAATCGAAGCCACACTGGAACAAGGATGCTGGTTTAAAGGTGGGGGTGGGTGAGCAGAAAAGGTAACTTGCCCCTACTTTCTGGGGTGAGGGGGTGAAGGGCAGATGGCAGAGTCCTGAGCCTTCACAATGACTGTAGTAGTCTTTCTCCTTCACCCCTGTGCTTCCCACCACCAGCACCCCACTCCCACAGCCTTTGGGTTTGATGGGACCTCTGTGAGGAACAGGATTTTACACCTGATAACACTTACCTGATCTCTGATTTGGGAGCAGGGGAAAAGAGTTAATTTACCTAATTTAGTTGTAGAGAGGAGGGGGCAGATCTCTCCTTTGTCTGGGGGACTTAGAGAAAAGAAAAAAGAAAGATGGTTAGGCCCCAGCTGTTGGGTCTGTGCTTTTCAAGGTCCCCACCCACCCCCCACCCCACCCCCCTGGCCTCTTGCCCAAACCCCATTGCATCACCCTGGCCTGGAGCCTCTGCCAGGCCTGGCCTCCCCCAGGCCCCCTCAAACTTCTTACCACAACCCTAATGGAGTAGAGAAGAGGGGGTGGGGGGTCTCCTCCTCTTCCTAGCAGTTGTCTGTCTTTTAACCTTCCCCCCTCACCCCTCTACACACACACACACACACACACTCCACACAACACTATCATTTCCCAATTTGGATACCCCCAAAACATCTGGACTTTCACACACTCTTGGTTCCCTAGGCGTCTGGCCCCTGGCTTGATCCCCCAAAGCCCGCTTCTAATACAGAACCCAGTGTTCTTACTCCCCTTCCCTCCCCTCTACTCATCTTCCTTCCCTCCCAAGAGAACCCAGGTGTCCTGCTCAAATTCCTCCCTCTCTGCTTGTCTTAGAGCAGAAGGCTGGAGGAGTGTCACTCCCAACATTCTTCTTCCCCCGGGACCTCCCTCCCAGCCCAGCTGTGCCTTTCATTCTTCCCTTAGAGTGAGATAGCACAACCTGAGAGGGAGGGCCTCTGGGTACCTGTCTCTCCTTCATTTCTCCTGGAGAACACAGGGGAAGCACCATAGAGATTCCACGGCAGGATGGAGTGAAGCTTGAAGCCAGGTAATGCAAGACACCAGTCCTTACCACTTACCAGCCAAAGGACTGTGACCTGAGACAGGTGCTGGTGGCTCACACCGGTAATCCTAGCTACTTAGGAGCCTGAGATCTAAGGATCTCAATTCAAAGCCACCCTGGGCAGGAAAGTCCATGAAACTTTTACCTCTGTGTTAACCACTAGAAAACCAGATGTGGCACTGTGGCTTAAAGTGGTAGAGATTTCAGTAAAAATGTTCAGGGCCAGTGCTCAGGCCCTGAGTTCAAGCCCTGTGACTGGCAAAAAAAAAAAAAAAGAAGAAGAAGAACTGGGACCTGAAAACAGTTACTGAAGCCTGGCTTTCCCATGAACACCTAACGTACTCTAAAGACTGAATGAGATGATACTAATATATGTATATAAGGTACCTGTCTCCAGAGGCTGATTAGAACAAGAGAGACGTAAGAGTTTTATGGAGTTGGTTGTATACTGGTTTTAGCTATTTCCTCCCCAACCACCACCTCATTCTTTGAGCCATTCCCCATTCCTTATTGGATTTTTCATCCTGCCCATAATGGGGCTTGTGATCACGGTCCCTCACATTCCTTTAGCACTTTCCTGTGGATTTCTCCATAGTTACAAAACCCCTAGTGTTGAACTGTGCAAGCGTGGAAATTTTAGAGTAGAAGTTAGTTCAGGGACCATTCAAGTGCAACCCATCACTTTATAGGGAGAGAATTTAAGGCTTGAAGAGGGAAAGTGACTTGGCCCAGAACACTTGAAAGCTTGGAAGGTGGGCCAGTCTCATCGCTGGGGCTCCCTGAGCACTCAACCAACAACTGGAGGAAGGCAGCTTTTCCTTCCAAGCCAACCAAGCATCTCCCTTGTTTGTGTTCTGGGAGTTCCAGAAGCAGAAACTGCTGTGGGACCTGCAGGACTGGGCCCTGGTCCACTTGCTGCTATCCACCCCGACTTTGTGGGGCCAAAGGAGTCAAACAGTAACTGAGTATTGAACGGGAGACATGGTTAATCAAAAGCCTGCCTGGCTGAGGGGAGAGGGGAGGATCAATTGGCTGTGAGTAGACCAGAGGGTTGGTCTAGAATCCAGGAATCCTGGCTTCTGACTTTTATTTGGGAAAAGATTTTGGGTGACCCTGGACGTGTTTTTAAATAGCTTCTTACAGAGTTAGTTTTCCCACCTGTCAAATGAAGACAGTTTAGGACTCGTTTAAGGACGTCTGGAGGATAATGTGGGGCTAAGCTGGTATGTGGTCTGCACTGCCTGTGCCCTCTCAGAAGTATCTGTATCAGTTGTAAACCCAGTGGATGCTCTCTCTCTCTCTCTCTCTCTCGCTCGCTCGCTCGCTCGCTCTCTCTCTCTCTCTCTCTCTCCCCCTTTTTTATACTAGTCTTGGAATTTGAACTCGGGGCCTGGGTGCTGTCCCTGAGCTTGCTTTTAGTTTTGTTTTTGTTTGGTTTTTTTTTCACAGCTAATGATCTACCACTTGAGCCATGGCTCCATTTTTAGCTTTTTGGTGACTAATTGAAGATAGAGCCTCCCAAAGTTTCCTGCCTGGGCTGGCTGCAAACAGGAATCCTCAGCTATCAGCCTCCTGAATAGCTAGACTACAGAGGTAACCCATGGGCGCCCAGCCTCTGCAGTTATCTCTTAGCTAGAGTAGTAGTCCATGTTGGCAGGGGCTAATTCTAGAATTGCAGAGCTCTGAGACTTCAAAACAATAAGTTATGGCAATTATATCTTCCTTGGGTTCTATTTCAGAAGAGTTGGTCTGCCAAACCACATTTAGTATGGAGTAATTAATTACCTTCCAGTTTTGATGAACCAAAACTATCCAGTTGCCAGTTAGAGCTTCTGACCAGCAGGAGATAACCAGGTTCCCTACAGGAGTTGATTTCCTTCCAACCTAAAGCAACAAAAGCATGGGACATTTTAATTAGCCCTGGCTGTCTTATCAAGTAAATACTTTAGGCTTTCTAAAATACTGAAAACAGCTCAAGAACTCCTCCATTGTTACCTTCTTGAACCCTTAGGAGGACTCAGGATTTAGGTGGCCAGAACTAGGAGAATAAATGCACAAATATCTCCCTTGGCCTGAGGGCAGTGTGCCTATGTGTTGGATTGATTGGGACTACAGGCATGGGTGGGCGACTGAATACACAGGATAAGCCTTGTGAAGTTGGGGTGGGGGTGGTGGAAGGGTCTGGATCTGTGCCCTGTGCCTGCATGGGGCTATCCTAAATCTTCTCCTGGAGCAGGAATAGATATGCCCCACGTGTCTCTGTCCCTTGTGTTTGTGGCCTTCATAAACTTTGTGAGGCCTTGTCTGTCACCTCCCAATCCTGCTAAACACATTTCTGCTCCAGGCCATCTCTGGGGTTCTGGGCTCAGCTCTCCGAAAGAGCCAAGGATGTTGAGAAATGACAAGTGCGGAACAGGGCACGGGGTCTCACCTCCGTGCTCCAGGGGACTTTGAGAAAGAAAGGATGGGACAGTGTCCTAATGACCTAGGGCTAGAGCCAGAACCAGGGTTCTCATCACCTGGTAGAGGTAGAAGGCCCTTTCTGTATTTTTAGAGCCTGCAGGCAGGTCTTGGATGCACCGCTCCTAGTCTCCCAGCCCTGGGGCAACCACACCCCCAAGGATTCTAGCCTCCCTGTGGATGCAGTCTCCACTCAGTTTCAAGTCAGTTTGGAGTCTGTTTGGAGTGGCCCGCTCTTATCTCTTACTGGCTCCCACCCCCAACAGAATGAGTGAAAGGGGTGGGGCCCAGCGGGAGTGAGGACAAATGGAGAAGTGAGAGGTTGGAAACCCAAAGGAAGCCACAGGCTGTAAACATTTCCTGTCCCCAGGGAAACAGAAGCTAGTCCCTCCCCTCTCCACTCACCCCCTCCCTGAACTCCTGGAACTCTTTCTGCACCCTCCCTTCTTGCCTCTCAGCCTTCTCCATTTCCTACCTTTTGGCCCACACACCACACTTTAGTGCCCTTGGGGCTGTCCTCTCTGATTCCCATCCCCCTCCCCATCCCTCTAGATCCCAGGCCTCCCCATTCATATACTTGGTCCTTTGTGTGTGTGTGTGTGTTGGTCATGGGGCTTGGGCACTGTCCCTGAATTCTTTCGCTCAAGTTCTTCTGCCCTCTACCACTCTGAGCCACAGTTCTGGCTTTTTATTAGTGGCTGATCAGAGATAAAGAGTCTCATAGGCAAGGACTTTCCTGCCCAGGCTGGCTTTGAACCACGATCCTCACATCTCAGCCACCTGAGTTGCTAATATTACAGACGTGAGCCCACCAGCACCAGGCCTTACACCTAGTCCTCTTGGAAGACACTCTTAGCCGCTGTGCCATCTACTAGCATCTCCCACTTGTGCTTCTTTCCTAGGGAGCAAGAGAAAAGACTGAGGAAGTTTCCTTTGGGCCAGGAAAGGGGTAATGGGGTGGGCAGGTTGCAAGCTGAAAGGGGACAGAAACTAATAGAGGTAGAAAAACCTAAGATCTAAGACCAAGAGAGAACCCGTAAACCTGAACCAAGAGAGTAAGCAGTCATGAGGACAGCGAGGGACAAATTAAGAAGCAATGCCAGAGGCAGACACAAGAGAAGAGGCCAAGGCTGGCAGGGACACTAGTCCAATGGCCAGGGCAAATTGCCCAGGCTGCCAGATGGAGTCCTCACAGGAGATCCTGAAGGAAAAAGCCAAAGCTTGAAGGCTGTGTAGAGGCCTTGGAAGCAAGGAACTCAAGGATGGTAGAGGCTACATTGAAGGCAGGAAGGCTGCCTCAGCTATGACTACCCAGGACATGGGATCCCATCAGAGGCAAGCTTCTCTGGGGAGAACTAACTGATCCATTTGTTCAGGATGAAGAAGCAGAAGAGTAGGATTTGAATTGGGTCTTCTAGAGCTGGGATTGAAGGGGTTCAAAGCCTTATAACAAAACCAAATAGGTGAGGTTCACTTTGGAGTCCCAAGGTGGGGCAGGCCCAAGGAAACAGTCTGTGTTCACTGTTTGCAGCTCCTTTCTGCACTACAGCTGTCTGATTTCCAAGACTCACATTTTCCTCCTACACGCCCCAAGGGCTCAGCAGTAGGCCCTTGGATGCCTGGGTCTCAGCCCAGGGAAAAGGGTTTTGGCTTGGGAAGTAAGGGTAAAGGGTAGGTACAAAAACCCAGAAGCTATAGAGGGGCAGTGTATCTAAATTGTCCAATCAGAGGCCACACATTGCATTTGAGTGTGAGTGTGAGAGAGTGTATGTGTTCTTTTATTTCTGGTTCTGGGGAATCTAGCCAGGGCCTTGCACATGTTGATACTCTACCACTGAGCAATATTCCAAGCTGGGCTGTGCATCTAACCAAAACAGGTATCCACAGAGATGGTGAGAAACTGAGGCCAGAGCCCTCCAGCACTCCAGGAATTGGCTCTGCTTCCTTCTGTCTGTTCACAGGAGTTGTTGGAGAGGAGAGCGTGGCGGGAGGAGGAAAGGGGTTGGGTTAGTGACAGCAGCACATGCCTGACTCCAGCCTGTGCCTCTGGCATCTGCGGCATCTTTTGAGATATAAATACAACCCATGGGGCACCTACCCCCTACACACACGCACACGCACACACACACACACACACACACACACACAGTCCTGGCCTAGAGCCCTGACCAAGAGCTAGGAAGTCCTTCTCCCCCCCAGTAAGTAAGTTAACCTCTCTTCTCTCTTCCACAGGGTAAGCGTGCTGGTGGGGGCCCCCAAGTCTAACACCAGCCAGCCAGGAGTGCTGCAGGGGGGTGCTGTCTATGCCTGTCCCTGGGGTACCAGGCCTGCACAGTGCACCCCCATAGAATTTGACAGCAAAGGTAGGCTGGTGGGATTCAGGGAGGGCCTGAGGGTGGGTGTGACAGTAGTGGGGGGGAGGGTAGGACCCAGAGCCACAGGTGTGGCTGCCTAGGCCCTCTAACACACACATGCACACGCACACACACATGTACACACGCATGCGCACAGACACGCATGCACAACCGCCACGTTCTCTTCCAGCAGCAGTTCTCAGAGCCGTAGGTTCCTCATGGCACTCACTCTGAGGCCCAGCCCAAAGAGGGCGGGCGTGATTCAGAAACATGTGGCTCTCATTTCCACTGAATCACCCACAACGCAGGGAGGCCAGGGCTGTAACATAGACAAAAGCAGGGAGAGTCTCAGAGAAGAATCAGTTCCTTTAACAAGGCACTGACTAAGTGACTTCACCCCAGGCTCTGTGCCGCGTCCTGTGCTTCAAGACTGAAAGCTGATTGGCTGCTGCCCTCTGGGAGCACAGTTCCCAGACGGAGAGTGACAGCTCACACTCTGAGCACTTGCTGTGTGCCTGAGCCCTGTGGTGAGCTCCTCACAGACATCAGCGCCTTTAATCCTTCCAACAGCTGGAGGAGATATTATTATTCCCCCTCTTACAAGTGAGGAAGCGAAGATTTAGTCACTTGTCTAAGGTCTCTTCATCGCTAATAAATGATGAGACAGGAGATGGACTGGTGCAGTCTGTCTCCAGAGATAAGACTAGGGTGAGGAGACAGGAAGAGGAAGGCATCAAAAGATGGAGGTTATGGAGATAAGAATCATCAAAACAGCCCGTAGTTCCTGCCCGTAATGCTAGCTACTCAGATCTGAGGATCACAGTTCAAAGCCAGCCAAGGCAGGAAAGTCAGCAATACTCTTATCTCCAATTAACACCCTCAAAGACTGAACGTGGAACTGTGGCTCAAAGTGATAGAGCTCTAGCCTTAAGCAAAAATGCTCAGGGATAGTGCCTAGGCCCTGAGTTCAAGTCCTACAACAACCGAGAAAGAGAGAGACAGAGAGAGAGAGAGACAGAGAGAGGAAGGAGGAGAAGGATGAGAGGGGGAGGAGGAAAATAGAAGGAAATCAGTTGGAATTTTAAGAAGTAGGGAGAAGGGTAAAGGAGAGGGAGTTTGATTGGGATGCATTGTATCTCTTGTGTAATAATGTACACTAATGAAAAAAAAAAACCCTGAAATTTAAACAAAGAAGGAAAGAAGAGGAAAGGAGAAATGGTAGGGGGAAGGTTGAGTCATAGTTCAAGTGGTAGAACACCTGTTTAGCAAGCCCAAAGCTCAGTACTACCAAAAATGAAGGGAGGGAGGGAAAGCAAAGGAAGAAGAAAGGAAGGATTTGGAGTCGCAGGCCCAGGTAAACAGAAATTGCCCTCTTGGGAAGCAACCTCTGTTCCCCCATGCGCCTGCCTACTGCAAGCATTTTTGTCCCCTTGGGTGAGGAAGCCAGGGAGAGACAACGTGCTTGTATGCGTGCGTGCGTGTGTGTGTGTGTGTGTGTAATGAGTCCCAACTCCAAAGCAGACTGAAGATCCTCTCCTTGTCTAAATCACAAGGGTTCAGGACCTGGAAGTGCTGGACACCTCCAGGCTGCCCAATGGGACACCCCCACCACCCGCCTCCCTTTTTACCTCCCTAAGGCTCCCGGGTCCTGGAGTCCTCGCTGTCCGGCACGGAAGAAGAGGAGCCTTTGGAGTATAAGTCCTTGCAGTGGTTTGGAGCCACAGTTCGAGCCCATGGCTCCTCCATCTTGGTGAGGGTCCTAGAAGGATTTAGTGATTCAGGGGCTTGGGGATGGAGGCAGGCCTGCAGGGCTCGGTGGGGGGATCAGGGCTCTTGTGGGAGGAAGCCTGAAGCCCCCTCCTCCTGGGCCTTCCAGGCATGTGCTCCACTGTACAGTTGGCGCACAGAGAAGGAGCCGCTGAGAGACCCCGTGGGTACCTGCTACCTCTCCACAGACAACTTCACCCGAGTCCTTGAGTACTCGCCTTGCCGCTCAGGTAAGTACCATGATGGGAGGAAGGGCTCTCATCCCCCCCCCTCCCTCCCCTCTTCCCCCCCTCCCCCCTCACCTCTCCTCCCGCTCACCATCCTCTCCCACACAGATTTCAGCTGGGTGGCAGGGCAGGGTTACTGCCAAGGCGGCTTCAGTGCCGAGTTCACCAAGGTGAGAGGGCGAAGCGGGGAAGAGGGCAGGGGGCCTAGACACATGGGGTCCAGGATGATATATGGAGAGACTCACCTTCTACCCCCACCCTGCAGACGGGCCGTGTAGTCCTGGGTGGACCCGGCAGCTACTTCTGGCAAGGTAAGTCCTTCTTCCATCCTTCTGGGAGTCCCTGACACCAACCTCCCTCCACCACTCCCGGCCTGAACTCACCAGTCCTTTCTGCTTCTGCCGTCTTCGTCCCCCCCCACCCCCTCCCAGTTCTCCTCGGCCTTCTGCCAGGCTCATCACCCTCTACACGCTTCCTTTCCCTGAGCAGTGCTTCTGAAACCCTCCCCAGCCAGTCCCCAGAGCCCCCCCACCCATCCCCTCTGCGCCCCCTCCCCAGGCCAGATCCTGTCCGCCACTCAGGAGCAGATCGCTGAGTCTTATTACCCCGAGTACCTCATCAACCTGGTTCAGGGGCAGCTGCAGACCCGCCAGGCCAGCTCCGTGTACGATGACAGCTACCTGGGTGAGTGGCACATGGGGCATGGGGGGAGGGACGGTGAGAGAATTCAAGGGTTCCTACTCACAACCCTGCTTGCATCTCGTACTGGGGCTTGAACTCGGGGCCTGGGCGCTAGCGAACTTGTAGCTTTATCACTCAAGGCTGACACTCTGCATAGCTCTGTTTCTGAGAGTTATTTTGTGTGTGTGTGTATGTGTGTGTGTGTGTGGCTGATTGGAGATAAGAGTTTCACAGACATTTCTGGTTGGGCTGACTTTGAACCTTGATCCTCAGATCTCCACTTTCTAGCAGCTAGGATTACAGGCGTGAGCCACCAGCACCTGGCCCTGTTGCCATACTTGTCCTGTGCAGAATGAATGCCTATGAAGGGGATGGATTGGGGGCGGGGCAGAGCAAGGCAAGAGAATCTCTGAGGCAGGAATGCCAATATCCACTCCCTCTGTCTCCCCAGGCTATGCTGTGGCTGTGGGTGAATTCAGTGGTGATGACATAGAAGGTGAGTGTCCACATTTGGACCAGGGGAGGGAGGGGTAGAGATCCAGGACCTGGGGACCACAAGCAGCACTCAAACACTCCCCGCTTCTGCTGCTTTGCCTGGCTCAGCCTGATCTTATGACTGTGTCTCTTCCCCCTGCAGACTTCGTTGCTGGTGTACCCAAAGGGAACCTTACCTATGGCTACGTAAGATCCAGCCCAACCTCCCCTCCTGCCTCCCCTCTCTCCTTCTGGGCTACACAAAGAGCCATTTGTGGCTGGTGAGGGGGGGCGCCTCACAATCTAGATGAGATACAGACTCTGGAGTCAGACCTGGGTTCAAGTTCTGGTGCTTTTGCTGGATACGTTACGGTTATTTTTTCCTACCCTGCCTCCTGCTTAACCTCTCTACGCTGTATTCTCCTCTATATAATGGGATAATAATAGTTCTGACCTCACCAGAGGAACTGGAAAGGGTGAAATAAGATAGTCCATCTGAAAGTACTTGGTGAATTGTTCGGCTGAGTACAACAGGCAGCTGTTATAATTAGGCTATGACAAGGGCGTGTACAGATAACAGTGCTGTACATGGCCCTTCAATGAACACTTATTAAGGCAAGGGAATAGATGAGATGAAGACATTTTCCCTTTATCTCGAGAAGTAAGGTAACCAAGTATGTGAGATAAAACACTGCACCCCAGGCATCATCTGTCTATCTCTGAGTCCATGGAAGAGAGGTGTTGTCATTTCACATTTGCACCTGAGACAAACTGGCCTGTTTGTTTAAGATCAGCCAGTAAACTGGGCGCCGGTGGCTCACACCTGTCATCCTAACTGCTCAGGAGGCTGAGAGCTGAGGATCACCGTTCGAAGCCAGCCCAGGCAGGAAAGTCTGTGAGGCTCTTATGTCCCATTAAACACCAAGAAGCTGGAAGTAGAGCTATGGCTCAAGTGGTTATCCTTAAGCAAAATAGCTTTTGGGCAATGCTCGGGCCCTGAGTTCAAACCCTAGGACTAGCTTAAACAAAACAAAAAAGATTACCCAGTAAGATTTAAAGCCAGAGCTAGGTTACTTCAAAGTGAGCGTTCTGTGTACACTATGACAAGTTTTGAAAAGTGACCAAAGGGATGGCAGAACTGTTTGGGGTGGGGGGGAATAAAGCTGGGGTCAGGGAAGGCTTTTCTCTGTGCAGAGATGAAGTGAGAGGGTGTCCTGGACAGGGACAGAATGGAGGAAAATCTCTCAGGCTGCTTGGGATTGAGAAGGACAGTAATATAGATGGGCAGAGTCTGGGAGGTGACTCCAGGGAATCACAGGAGTGTCAGGCCAGAGGTAACCATCCCAGATGCACTCAAAGGCAATTAGTCAGTCTTATTCATGGGCCAGTGCCTGGGGTAAGGGTAGGGGTGGGGTGCAGGCCAGACAGGGGAGCCCAAAGCAGTTCTGGGCAGTTCTTGGGGGACTTGCAGCAGAGTCAGTTACAGCAACTACTGTGGGAAGGAGCCAGGGTCCAAGGGCCTTAGAGGTCTACAGGGATAGGCGGCTAAAGGGAGAACATAGAGAAGACAGAAGTGTTTGTGGCTCAGAGGGGACTGGAGGATGAGGGATGACTTCGGTGTTTTTTGTTTTTTGAGTTTTTGTTTTGTTTTGTTTTGTTTTGCCAATCCTGGGGCTGGAACTCTGGGCCTGAGTGCTGTCCCTGCGCTCTTTAGCTCAAGGCTAGTGCTCTACCACTTGAGCCACAACACCACTTTCAGTTTTCTGAGTGGTTTATTGGAGATGAGGGTCTCATGGACTTTCCTGCCCAGGCTGGCTTTGAACTACAATCCTCAGAGCTCAGCCTCCTGAGTAGCTAGAATTACAGGTGTGAGCCACCAGCACTTGGCCCTGAGCTTCTTTTGCTCAAGGCTAGCACTCTGCCACTTGAGCCTCAGCACCAACTTCCAGCTTTTTCTGTTTATGTGGTACTGAGGAATCAAACCCAGGACTTTTTACATGCTAGGCAAGCACTCTATTACTAAGCCACCTTCCAGCCATGACTTAGGTTTTGAGTTTAAGACTCCTGCGTGTGGCTGGGCCTTGGTGGTTCACTCCAGTAATCCTAGCACCTTGGGAGGCTCCTCAGAAGGATTGAGATTTGCAGCCAGCCTTGAGATACTTATCTCCAATTAATTAACCACAAAAAGCCAGAAGTAAGTGTGTGACTCAAGTGGTAGAATGCCAGCCTTGAGCAAAAAAAACACAAGTGAGTGCCCCAGTACTGGCATACACACACACACATACACATACACACACACACACACACACACACACACACACACACATCTACCAGTGTGCATTCAGTCATAATTATTGAGTGGCTACTAGTTACTAAGCTCCATTTATGTTCCAAAGGACAAAACCAAGCTTCTACCCCAACTGATCTTCCATTCTGGTAGGGCAGAGATGGGACAAACAGACATTGTGAAATCTGTGTAGTAGATAAGTAATTTGGAGGAAAGTGGATAAGCAGGCAGCTGGTGGAACCAGGAGAGGGGAATAGGAGGACAAAACTCAGGAGGGAGTTGGGAGTTTGTCTCTGAGGGAGGTATTCCTACCTCCAGGTGTCCCCCTTATCCTTCACCCTTGCAACACTTGGACCAATAGGCTTCTCTCCTCATTTCCAGGTCACCATCCTTAATGGCTCAGACATCCGATCACTCTACAACTTCTCAGGGGAACAGGTAAGGACCTCCACCACACACACACACACACACACACACACACACACACACACACACAACACATACCCTAGCTTGGCTCTCTGCCAACTAAGTCCCAGCCCTGATGCGATGATGGCACACTTCCCAGCCTCCTTACAGCCTGTGAACTGCTTTACAGCTCCCTCTTGATCCTAACTGTTGACCCTGCCTTGTTCTGAGACAGTGCTGGTCCCTCTCTCCCCTTCCCCCCCCCCCCAGATGGCCTCCTACTTTGGCTATGCCGTGGCTGCCACTGACATCAACGGGGACGGGTGAGTAGTGGGAAAGGAGCCACCATGATGGCCTTTCCAGATCCAAGAGAGAAGAGGGAGCTTGGGACAAGATGCCAGCAGTGTTTCTCCAGAGCCTTTGGCTCTGGATTCTCACTCATGCTTGCCTTCCCCTTGCTTAGGGACAAAGAGATTGCTGGGAGCTAAATCGGAGCCCTTGGGTCTTCTGATCGGTGTGGGAGGGACCACGGGGGGCCAGGATGCCTGTGGAGAGTTACAAGACAGAATATGAGAATGCCTGGGTCTGCCCTTCTTCCCCCCACCCCAGACTGGATGACCTGCTGGTGGGGGCACCCTTGCTCATGGAGCGCACGCCTGATGGGCGCCACCAGGAGGTGGGCAGGGTCTACATCTACCTGCAGCACCCAGCTGGCATTGAGCCTGCACCCACCCTCACCCTCACTGGTCACGATGAGTTTGGCCGATTTGGCAGCTCCTTGACCCCCCTGGGGGACCTGGACCAGGACGGCTATAATGGTAAGCAACATGAGCTCTGGAAGCTGAGGGTGATGGGGAAGGGTGGGGGTGGGGGGCAAATTAGGGATTTGGGAGTGAGTTCTATCTGTTAAGATACACAGGCTCCCCTGCTTTTCCAAGAAGGTTGTGAATGTTAAGCCTGGATGTTGGAGATTTGAAGAGATTAGAATACAGGAGTTCCAAGTCCTGGGGTCTAGTGGTAGAGATTTGGATCCCCACGCCTCCCCACCACCCACCCCAATTCCCGGCTTGCTGACTGATGTGTGTTGTATATCTTGCAGATGTAGCCATCGGGGCTCCCTTTGGTGGGGAGACCCAGCAAGGAGTAGTATTCATATTTTCTGGGAGCCCAAGAGGCCTGGGCTCAAAGCCTTCCCAAGTTCTTCAGCCCCTGTGGGCAGCCGGCCACACCCCAGACTTCTTTGGCTTTGCCCTTCGAGGAGGTCGAGACTTGGATGGCAACGGATATCCTGGTGAGTTGGGCCCTAGGCCCCTTCCCTTTGGAATGCCCTGGTCTCACACTGTAAAATATATAAATAAATAAGCCTAGAGAACCAACTATAACCAGCCATTTAAAATTACTATTACTTTCCTTTGTGGAAACCAGTTTTATAGTACTGATTTTAAGGCTTTTTTTTTTTTTTCAGTACTGGGATTTTAACTCAGAGCCTCTCTCCTACTCATTCTTTCTAGGCAGATGCTCTACCACTTGAGCCACACCTTCAGTCATTACCATCATACACACACACACACACACACACAACTACACTGTGTGTATGTGTGTGTGTACATGCCAGTCCTGGGGCTTGAACTCCAAGCCTGGGCACTGTCCCTGAACTTTTTTTTTTTTCCCAAGGCTAGCACTCTACCACATGAACCATAGCTCCACTTCAGATTTTTGGTGATTAGTTGGAGGTTAGGGTCTCATAAACTTTTTGTGCCCAGGCTCGCTTTGAGGATCCTCAGAATACCAGCCTCCTGAGTAGCCAGGATTTGCAAGCATAAGTCACTGGCACCCAGCTGTTTTTATAGTTTCTTATTCAAAAGTAAAATACACATGCACCTGTACATATGTGTCTGTTTTGGGTTAATTTTCACAGTATTTTAGAAGAACTAAAATTTTGAGCACTTAAAAAAAAAAGGAAATAGAATTACCCATCCTAAGCTCCTGGGTGCAATTCTAGGACATTGCCACCAGATGGTGTAGTCCCTTCACTTCAGCCTCCTTGAGCAATGAAACTCAAAGGTGGGTTGGGGAGGTTAGGAAGGGTACATTCTGATTTGGGCTTGCTGTAAGGGGTGGTTTCTTGCCTTCTGCAGATCTGATTGTGGGGTCCTTTGGAGTGGACAAGGCTGTAGTATACAGGTATGAACTCAAAGCGGGTACTGAGACAGCCTGGGAGAAATGGGAGTTTCTCCTTAAAGCTAAGATTGGGAAAATGAATGTAAAAGAAACTGTCATTCTGGGTCTGCAACATCAGACTCCTGTGCCCAGCCTCTCAGAGTCCTAATTCTATTTATCCCACATCCATGTTTGCCAGGGGCCGCCCCATTGTGTCTGCCAGCGCTTCCCTCACCATTTTCCCTGCCATGTTCAATCCAGAAGAGCGCAGCTGCAGCTTGGAGGGGAACCCTGTATCCTGGTGAGCAGAACCAGAAGACTTGTAGAGATCAGGGCCTGGGAGCAGGCAGAGGCCCGCCTATGTCTGCTTTTAGAGAGGGATGGATGGGGGTGTCCTAGATGGAGGTCTATCTGGGAAGAAGGTAAAAGACAGGGTACTGGTCCAACTGCATTTGTTGGTCTTTCCCCAGCATCAACCTCAGCTTCTGTCTCAATGCTTCTGGAAAACATGTCCCCAACTCCATTGGTAAGGGAAACAACCTGGATCTCTCAGGCCCTGGGACAGCAGGGAGGGGTTGTGGATGGGGATACCTTCTCTCTCCTTGAATAGAGTAGGAAGGTGAGGCCAATTATCCTGCCTTCTATGTGTGTCCCTGACTACAGGCTTCACGGTAGAACTCCAACTGGACTGGCAGAAGCAAAAAGGGATACGACGGGCACTGTTTATGGCCTCCAGACAGGCAACCTTAACCCAGACCTTGCTCATCCAGAATGGGGCTCGGGAGGACTGCAGAGAGATGAAGATCTACCTCAGGGTATGGCTCTGAGGACAGGGGTGGACTGGCCAGGGCAGGTGACCCACACAGAACTAAGACCCTTCCTGAAGGGAGTGAGATCGGAAGGCTCTCTGGTCATGTGAGGCCGAGGAAAGGAGGCTCTTCGGTCACGAGGACTGGGAGCCAGGCTGCCAGGGCTTCTGAAGAAATGAGGTTGTTAAGAATTGCAAAAAGGAGGGGCCGGGAAGGTGGCTCAGTGGTAGAGCTCTTGCCTTGCATGCCTGAGGCCCTGGATTCGATTCCTCAGCACCACATAAGCAAAAAGAAAAAAGCCGGAAGTGGCGCTGTGGCTCATGTGGTAGAGTGCTAGCCTTGAGCTGAAAAGCTGAGGGACAGCGCCCAGGCCCAGAGTTCAGACCCCAGGACTGGACCCCCCCCCAAAAAAAAAAGAATTGCAAAAAAGAGATGCAAAACTGAAAGAGAGGGGCCACCGAGTCCCCCCAGAGTCCCCTGACCTTATGAAGTTTCTCCCCTGATTTCTAGAATGAGTCAGAATTCCGAGACAAGCTCTCCCCGATTCACATCGCTCTCAACTTCTCCTTGGACCCCCAAGCTCCCCTGGACAGCCATGGCCTCCAGCCAGTTCTGCATTACCAGAGTAAGAATCGGATAGAAGACAAGGTGAGGATGGGGTAGAAAGAGGAGCCCTGGGAGGACTGAGACCTGGACACCTGGGGGCAGGGCTGTGGAAAGGAAGGAAGGGCCTGCAGCCCAGGCATGGTGGAAACTCCCCTCTCAAGATTGCCCTGCTCCCCAGGCTCAGATTTTGCTGGACTGCGGAGAAGACAACATTTGTGTGCCTGACCTGCAACTGCAGGTATATGGGTAAGTGGTGCTAGCCGTGAGCTGGGAGTTTCAGGGTACCCCTGGCACTCAGATATTAGTCGGGACATACTAGTTGTGTGACCTTGGGAAGTCTCTGAAATTTCTCTGACTTCTGTGTCTTTCTACATTAGGAGTAAGGACATTTCTTTTCTTTGGGCTGGTGCCAAGGCTTGAACTCAGGGCCTGAGCATTGTCCCTGAGCTTCTTTGTGCTCAAGGCTAGCACTCTGCCACTTGAGCCACAGTACCACTTCCAGCTCTTTCTGAGTAGTTTATTGGAGATAAGCATCTCATGGACTTTCCTGCCCAGGCTGGCTTTGAACCAAGATTCCCCAGATCTCCGCTCCTGAGTGGCTAGGATTATAGATGTGAGCCACCATCGCCTGGCCGCATTTCTTTCTCTGTCTTGATAGAAGGGTCAAATACAATAGTCTGCATAAAGCAGCTAGGCTCGTGCCCAGCCAGAGTTGGAACTCAGTGCTGTCTCTTCTGTACTATTCACATTCCCCATTGTCCTCATTGGGCCATTCGTTCCCCAGCATCCTTATCCTGTGTGTCCCCTCCAGGGAACAGAAACCTGTGTATCTGGGTGACAAGAACGCAGTGAACCTGACTTTCCACGCCCAGAACATGGGCGAAGGCGGTGCCTACGAGGCTGAGCTTCGGGTCACGGCCCCTCCAGAGGCTGAGTACTCAGGACTCATCAGACACCCAGGGGTGAGAGAGAGGGGACTCTCTCCAAAGTGGGGTTGAGGGGATATCTCTCCAGAGGGGACACCCAAGCCTGACCTTTGCCCATACATCTCCAGAACTTCTCCAGCCTCAGCTGTGACTACTCCGCCGTGAACCAGAGCCGTCTGCTGGTGTGCGACCTGGGCAACCCCATGAAGGCAGGGGCCAGCGTAAGTCTTGGGTGGAAGAGGAGGGGGTTGAAACTGAGCATTTGTGGCTCCTAGCTCCTCGAGAGGCTGAGATCTGAGGATCACTAGTCAAAGCCAGCCCAGGAGGCTGGGCATGTGGCTTAGTGGTAAAAGCGCTTGCCTAGCATGCATGAAGCCCTGGGTTCGATTCTTCAGTACAGTAATGGCAGAAACAGAAAAAGCCAGAAGTGGTGCTGTGACTCAAACGTAGAGTGCTAACCTTGAGCAAAAGAAGCTCAGGGACAGTACCCAGGTCCTGAGTTCAAACCCTAGGACTGGCAAAAAAAAAAAAAAAAAAAAAGCCAGCCCAAGCAGGAAAGTCTTTGAGACTCTTATCTCCACTACCAGAAAGCTACTGAAAATAAACCAGAACTAGAGCTGTGGCTCAAGTGGTAGAGCAGTAGCCTTGTGTGAAAGAAGCTCAGGAACAGCTTCTAGGCCCTGAGGTCAAGCCCCAGCCCTAGGACCAGCACAAAAAAGAAGATGAGGAGGAGAAATCTGGAGGGAGAGAGGACCCCAGGACAGAGTCCCGTGAGTCCAGAGTTGGCCGCAGCATAGGAGAGAGGGCTGGAATTGAAGCAAGGCACATGCTCAGTCTAACAGCCCCTTTCTGACCTGTAGCTCTGGGGTGGCCTTCGGTTCACTGTCCCTCATCTCCGGGACACAAAGAAAACCATTCAGTTTGACTTCCAGATCCTCAGGTAGAGTGTGGGGAGGGCTGGGCTGGGGGCAGAAGGGAGGGCGGGGCAGGTGGGTGGCCAAGCCCAATAACAAGTGTGGAATTCTCCTGGGCTGAGCTCCGGATGCCACCTCAGTCTTCCTCCATCCCACAGTAAGAATCTCAACAATTCGCAAAGCAATATGGTCTCCTTCCTGCTCTCCGTGGAAGCTCAAGCCCAGGTGTCTCTTAACGGGTCAGTGCCCAGTAGAATGGGGGGGGGGGCTCTTTTCAGGATAGGGGGTTTCTTCTGCCCCTCTCTCAACCACTCTTCTCCTCAGTGTCTCCAAGCCTGAGGCGGTGCTCTTCCCAGTCACCGACTGGCATCCTCGAGACCAGCCTCAGAAGGAAGAGGATGTGGGCCCTGCTGTCCACCACGTCTATGAGGTGAGACTGGCTGGGTGGTAGCCAAGGAAGCGGAAGCAGAGGGGAGGGGCCGGAATGAGTGACAGAAAGAGAAGGAGGAGCTAGTGGGAATGAGTGACAGAAAGAAAAGGAGGAGCTAACGGGATCAGAGGGAGGATGGAGAAGAGGAGAGAGAGCTGGGTGAGTGACAGGAAGAAAAGGTCCAAGAGAGACAGCGCAATGAGGGACAGGCCAGCTGAGTGGGCTGGAAAGAGGGGAAGCCATGTAGCCAGGGTATGGTGGGGTGTGGTGCCCAGAATCTCAGTGGATCAGCACTCCACCTTCTTCTCCTCAGCTCATCAACCTGGGCCCCAGCTCCATCAGCCAGGGTGTGCTGGAGCTCAGCTGTCCCCATGCTCTGGAAGGCCAGCAGCTCCTCTATGTTACCAGGGTGACCGGACTCAGCAACTGTACAGCCAGCCACCTCATCAACCCACAGGGCCTGGAGGTGAGGGCTTTGATATGCTCAGAGGACCAGACTGAGGGCCTGGGAGAAGTGGGTGAGAAAGGAAGAGTCAGAAGGTTCAGAGGTTTCAGAGGCCTGGGAGGGAAAAGCAACTTTGTCCATTGCTTTCTTTCTGCCTGAAGCAACCTTCCCTATTTCCTGGTGTTTATCCAGGGCCTTGATCTGAGCCACTTCCTCCTGGAAGCTTTTTCCAGATCTGTCCTTCGGGGCCCGTGCCTTTGTTTTGGAGTTACACAAAAGCAGCATTTGGTGTAATGAATGTTAGGACACCATTAGACACAGGAAAAGAAACCCACACCAAACAAAACCGATCAAGTCCCCCACTCCTGGAGTTTTTGTTCTAGTGGAGGCTGATAGACAACAAAAACTAAAAAGAGAAAAATTACAGGTATTGAAAAGTTATGAAAACACAGAACTGATACGCTGTTGGGGAGACTGGTGACCTTCAGTTATGTCATCAGGAAAATCCTCATGAAGAAACAGTAAACTGAGGCCTGGGGCTAGAGTCATGGCTCAAGTGGTAAAGTGCCTGCCTGCTAAGTATCTAGCCCTGAGATCAAATTCCATTACTGGGGGGTGGGAGGCAGGATGTAGAGAGTTTTGGTCCTGCTGGCTCATACTTATAATTCTAGTTACCCAGGAGGCTGAGATCTAAAGGTCAAGGTTTGAAGCCTACAGGAGCAGGCAAATCCAAGAGACTAATTTCCAATTAACCAGGAAAAAAAAGCCAGAAGTGAGATGTGACTTAAGTAGTAGAAGAACAGCTATGAGTGAAAAAACGGAGCCAGAGTTCCAGACCCTGGACTCACACCCAAGAATTGACACCAGAGCTGGATGGATGACAATGTCTCATTTCTATAATCCTACCTACTCAGGAGGCTGAGATCTGAGGATCATGGTTTGAAGCTAACCTGGGCAAAAAAAAAAAGATTGTGAGACTCTTACCTCCAATCAACTACTCAAAAAGCCAGAAGTGGTGGGGCTGGGAAGGTGGCTCAGTGGTAGAGCGCTTGCCTTGCATGCCTGAGGCCCTGGGTTGGATTCCTCAGCACCACATAAGCAAAAAGAAAAAAGCCGGAAGTGGCGTTGTGGTTCAAGTGGTAGAGCGCTAGCCTTGAGCTAAAGAGCTGAGGGACAGCGCCCAGGCCCAGAGTTCAGGCCCCATGACCGGACACAAAAAAAAAAAGAGAGAGAAGAAGGAAGGAAGGAAGGAAAATCCTGAGGCCTAAAAGACAAAGATGAAGCTACCTATAAGCTACAGAAGAACATTCATACAAAGAGAACAGCCAAGGCAAAGAAAAAGGCTCATGTCTTCATGAAAACCTGAGTTCCATCTGTTTTCAGATTTCAGTGCTGAGCTCCCTTGGTGCCTTACACATGGGAAGTGGTCAGTGGAGTGGACTGATAGAAAGGCAGATAAATAGCTGGATGCTTGCAGCTCATACCTGTAATCCTAACCGCTCTGAAGATTGTGGTTCAAAGCCAGCCATTTTCACAGGCAGGCAAGTCCATGAGACTCATCTCCAGTTAACTCTCAAAAAAGCTGGAAATAGAGCCATTGGCACAAGTGGTAGAACACCAGCCTGGAGCAAAAAAAACCTAAGGGTCAGTGCCCAGACCCTGAGTTCAAGCCCCCAGTACCTACACACTCCCCCCCACCCCTGCACGCGCGTGTGCACACACACACAGAGGCAGAGGTTAAACAAAGCTGTGGGCTATTTTCGATGCTGTAATGAGTTGGGAAAGGTATCCAAGGGTCTCGTCCTCTTCCAGCTGGACCCCGAGGGCCCCTCACACCTGCAGAAACGAGAAGCCCCAAGCCGCAGCGCCGCCACCTCTGGGGCAAAGGTCCTGGTAAGTCATTCTGAGCATTGGGTCAGGACCTACGCTTGGAGTACCTACTTGGGCTCTCAGAACTATTCCCCCACACACACAAAAAGGGGGCAGAATTCCAAGTTCAAGCCTTTTCTTTCCAGAAATGCCCAGAAGCTGAGTGTTTAAGGCTACGCTGTGAACTTGGGCCATTACACCGACAAGAAAGCCGAACTCTGCAGCTACATTTCCGAATCTGGGCCAAGACCATTCTGCAGGTGAGGGAGCCTCGCCTCAGCCCTGACCCTGACCCTGACCCCTGGGCCTGCCCAGACCAGCCCTGCCTTTTCTCTACTGTCCTAAGCAGCTCTCCTTTGGCCAATGGACAGGACACTGCAATTCCCTTGTCCCCTGATCTAGATCAGAAAGTCTGTCCTTAGCGCCACCTCGTGGCCATAGTAGGAGTAACCTCTTCCTCTTCTGGCCAATTCAGAGAATGGAGAGTGAGAAGAGAGACCAAGTAAGCAGATGCAGGAATAGTAAAGAGCCATTTAATCCAGCATACATTATGGTCCAAGCTTGGATCTGGGTGTTGACCCATATTAATGATTCAAAAAAGAAATTTTATTTTATTGAACATGTCATCTGATTATACATTATTTAGTTTCAATTATACATTATTTAGTTTCAATTTCTCAGTTTTACATATATTATATAAGAAACAGTTCAGCTGGGCACTGGTGGCTCACACCTGTAATCCTAGCTACTCAGGAGGCTGAGGTCTAAGGATCACAGTTCAAAGCCAGCTCAGGCAGGAAAGTCCTTGAAACTATTATTTCCAATTAATCAAATCACAACTCCCTCCACTCCCTTGTGAAAAAAAGCCAAAAATAGAGCTATGGCTCAAGTAGTAGAGCACCAGCCTTGAGCAAAAAAAGTTCAAGGACAGAGCCCAGGTTCTAAATTCAAGACCCAGGTGGCACAAAATAAAGACAAAAGAAACATCAAGAGAGAATGAGTCCAATATAAGGAAAGATCACAGCCTGAGCCCTAGACCATGGGGAAGCTCTTTGTCTTCTAGATCCCAAAAAAGGCTGCTCTAACCTCTCTTTCCCACCCACAGCGGGAACACCAGCCACTTAGCCTTCAGTGTGAGGCTGTGTACGAAGCCATGAAAATGCCCTACCGGATCCTGCCTCAGCAGCTGCCTCAAAAGAGACTTCAGGTGAGGCCAGAGGACCAGAGGTCTAGTTCACAGAAGCCAGGCTCAGAGCCCTGGAACTAGGACTGGGAATGACCATGTAAGGAATAACCGTGTCATCTACTGTGTGAGTGGCCAAGCTGGTGAGTTATAGAAACACCTGTCTTACGGGATCAGGGATGGCTTCCTGGAAGATGTGATGTGTAGGCTGAGGCCTGAGGGAACTAACCAGGCTAGCCACTCATGAAAGGATGATACTGAGGAAAGGAAATAACAGGAAGGCCCAAAAGTGAGAGACAATATTGTTGCCCACTCAAAGCGCTGATGCCTTCAAGTAACGGAGACCAAGTATGAGCGAGGAAAGTCTGTGGGTTCTCAGCGACTTCACTGGGCTTGCTCCCCCCAGGTGGCCACGGCCGTGCAGTGGAGCAAAGCAGAGGGCAGCAATGGCGTCCCGCTGTGGATCATCATCCTAGCCATCCTTTTTGGACTTCTGCTTCTTGGTCTGCTCATCTACATTCTTTATAAGGTTAGCCACATCCTGCCCTACACTTGGCCCCCCTGCCTGCAGGTTTTGCCCTCAACCCAGCGTAATCCCAAGTATCTACCACCAGCTGTTTTCTGGGAGTATGTTCTCACCTCCATCCTGCCTACCTGAGTCCAGGCCTGACCCTTCCCGAGGACCCTTTCTTCCATCTACAGCTCCTAGCTTAGAAAGAGTCTTCTTGTCCATTTTGCAAAAGCACTGTAGCCCACAGATGGCAAATACAAGGCTATTTCTCCTGTCACTTCCTCTAAAAGTCCATGGCAGCCATCTCTAGTCAATCATCTCCTAAGAGTGGTATGGAATCTTTAAGAAGCAGCCACTGCTAGGCAGACAGACTCCATATTTGAGTTGAAGGTTTGACTCCATGGGACTTCTTTGCCCTTCCTAGCTTAACTGGGGGACTCTGTGTGTGTGTGTGTGTGTGTGTGTGTGTGTGTGTGTGTGTGTGTGTGTGTGTGTGTGTGTGTTGTGTGTGTGTGTGTGTGTGTGCAGGTGCGTGCGTGCGTGCGCCAGTCCTGGTGTTTAAACTCAGTCTGGACTTTGTCCTTGAGCTTTTTCATTTTTCACTCAGGACTGGCCCTCTATCACTTGAGCTACACCTCCACTTCCAGCTTTTTGGTGGTTAATTGGGGATAGGAGTCTCATAGGCTTTCCTGCCTGGGCAGGTTTCAAATTTTTTTTTTGGGTCCGGTCGTGGGGCCTGAACTCTGGGCCTGGGCGCTGTCCCTCAGCTCTTCAGCTCAAGGCTAGCACTCTACCACTTAAGCCACATCGCCACTTCTGGCTTTTTTCTAATGTGGTGCTGAAGAATCGAACCCAGGGCCTCGAGCATGCAAGGCAAGTGCTCTACCACTGAGCCACCTTCCCAGCCCCACTGGGATCATTTTTTAAGATACTGATTCAAGGATAAAAGGTCTCTAAATCACCTTTGATTATCACTCTCCTGTACCCACTGGACATCGTCGGGAAGTCTCATAGTCTGAATTCTGATTAGGAAGACTGAGGAATCCTAATTTTCTCTTGGAATCAGAGTCGTGCTGGTACTTAACTGCTCCCTTCTTTCCGTTTCATCAGCTTGGCTTCTTCAAGCGTTCCCTCCCATACGGCACAGCCATGGAAAAAGCTCAGCTCAAGCCTCCAGCCACCTCTGATGCCTGAGTCCTCCTGATCCCAGACTCCCAATCCTGAAGAGCCAGTCCCCTGCTCTCCATCTGTTCACAGAGAGGGGATTGAGCACTTCCTGAAGGTGCTGAGGGCCAGGGAGAACTTCCTCTCCCTGGCCTAGAGACATACTTGAAGGGCCAGAGCCAGGGGCCAGGAGAGAAACTGGGGCTGACCCTCCCCCTGTGCACTGTGAAGGACCCTCGTTTACACATGCTCTCCCACAGATGGGGGAACTCAGATCCAGGGACAGAAGCCTCAGCCTTTCTGCAGCCTTTGCATTTCAGAGTTTCCTGAAAACAACTTGGAATCATAGCTAGGGAATCTATTTGTGGTTCTTCGGGCCAGCCGTGCCACCAGGACTTCCTGTCCAGCTCCAGCCTGCAAAGATGGGTCATCACTCCTCACCAGAGATCCAAAGGAAGCCCCACCCCCTCTCCAGCTAAGAATCTGGGGCTTGAGGAGTGAGACCTGGCCTGGCAGCTCCAACAGCCCCCACCCTGGGGGACTAACAAGGAACACTAACCGAGGATGGACCGCCTCAGGACAGATCCCAAATGAAGGTCAAGGGTCAATGCTGGCCCAGACCCAGCTCTAGAGGAGTCAGAACTCACATGGAGCTGGATCCAGTCTGGGACCTGGAGTTGATCTAAAGCCCAGCCTCAGATGTTGATAACCTAATCTGGGCAGATCCAGGACTGTATTTGGGTCTGCTCCAGACCTGGGCCTAGAGGCCCTATTTATCCCTGACTTACGAATAGTCAGGAATTGCCTAGGACCCTGAAGAGGCCATGATGGCAACAGATCTGGAACCTCAGCCTGGCCAGACTCAGGCCCCCTCAGTCTCTGGAGAAAGGGGAGCCTCAGGCCTGCAAGACTTAGATTCTGTCCACCAGCTGCACTGATGCTGCCCCTCCCCCACTCCTTGCCCAACCCTCCCTTCCCTTCCCCTGGGCTCCAGACACCCTGGACTTATTTAAACTCTGTTGCAAGTGCAATAAACCTGACCCAATGTCCCTACTGACCAGAGAACCTGTATCATCCCACCCCACTCCTTCCAAACTCATCCTGAAACCAGATGGCTTGGCCAGAAAGAGATGTCTGCCTCAAGGCTTTTCTCTATGGGGAGCCAGGAGAATGTCTCCCCAGGAACCTCTGTTAAGTGACTTAAGAATGGAAAGGGAGAGGGAAGGGCTCACCTTTTTCCTTCATCAGCCCCCCACCAGATCTGGTCCTTGACACCCCTAGGGAAGAAAGGTTTAAGGATAATGGAAGCATACAAAGTTGAAGGTGAGGGAAGATGGTGCAGAGATTCACCTGGCCTTCACTTAAACCAAACTAATAATAAAGGGAGAAAAAGCCATGGAACTAAAATGGAAGAAATCTAGTTAGGTTTTCATAATGTCATCATTGACATTGTACATGGTGCAAAGGGAGGTGTTGGATAGTTTATTTGTTTTGGGTTTTTTTGTTTGTTTTGGGCTAGTCGTGGGGCTTGAACTCTCGGCTTGGGGCTGTCCCTGCGCTCTTCAGCTCAAGGCGAGTGCTCTACTTCTTGAGCTACGGCGCCACTTCCAGCTTGCTAGTGGTTTATTGGAGATAAGAGTCTCACCGACTTTCCTGCCTGGGCTGGCTTTGAACTGTGGTCCTCAGATCTCAGCCTCCTGAGTAGCTAGGATTACAGGCATGAGCCACCGGTGCCTGGCTGGATGGTTTATATATATATATATATATATTTGATTCCATTTGATTTCCCTCAATCCTGTGAATTAGGTACTCTTGACTCTGTCTTCACAAGGAGAAACTGAGGCCCAGAGATTATATAATATGCTTGCCCAAGGTCACACTGTGTGGCAGAGCAAAGACAAATTCAGCCTTATCTGACAATGATAGATCTGGTTCTTAATCAACATGGGCTTTGGATCAGCCACAGGCCCCAGATCTTGGAAAATAAAGCCTTTCATTATGAGAGAGGCCCCCACAGTCCTCTTTTCTACTCAAGGCCTATCCAGAGAGGCAGAAAGGAAGAAGAATGTGTACATGTCAGGCTATATGGAAATTTCACCACCAGAGGGCAGGATAGCCACAAATTATGGAAATTTAGAGAAGGATGGTATGAAACCCACCTCTGTCTTCCCCCATCAGCAGGGCTATTCTTGTGGACTCAGGCTCCTGCCAAGAAGTGGCTACATCATGTCAAACTATTCCTCCAGCTAGACCATCTGGACCACATTCCAGTCTGGAATTTAGGATTCTATACCTCCAGAATGACTTTCTAGAAGCCATAAAGGAAGAGGGACTAAGCAGAGGAACATTCTTAATGAAACCATTTCCAAGGATGGTAGTCATGGTCTGGCACCCAAAACCCTCAAGGAAGGAAGTCTCTTGTTTTGGTTTGGTGTAGTGTTTTTTGGGGGGGGCATTTTTTTTTCATCATTTGTGGGTCTTGAACTCAGGGCCTGGGTGCTATCTCTAAACTTTTGTGCTCAGGGCTAGTACTCCACCACTTTGAGCCACAGCCCCACTTCCAATTTTCTGATGGCTAATTGGAAATCAGAATTTCATATACTTTCCAACTCTGGCTGGCTTTGAACTGTGGTCCTTAGATCTCAGCCCCCTGACTAGCTATGATTACAGGCGTAAGCTACCAGTGCCTGGCATGTTTTTTGTTTTGTTTGGCTATTTTGAAGAGTCTCTCCTCTTAGGAGGAATGAAGGTATAACAACCAAATTTCTGGGGTCAGATCAGGAATTTGCTCCAATGTTGTAGGGAGGAAAATGAGCCAGGAGTGTTGGGCTGGATGTATTGATGTGCAGCTTCTTGTGCTTTTGAGACAGTGACAGGATCTCCCCCCTTGAACACAACACAAGGAAGGAATTCCCTAGACTCAGAGATTTTCATATATCTAATCTAGTACCAGCTTCTGTCCCCCAGCTGTAATTCTGACCCCTGGCTGAGTTTCCTTTCCCAAATCTTCCAACCTTGCAGAATAAGTATGCCTCCCATCTTTTCTGTCAGTTGTGGGGCTTGAACTCTGGGCCTGGGCGCTGTCCCTGCCAGTGCTCTTCAGCTCAAGGCAAGCACTCTACCACTTGAGCCACAGCGCCACTTCCAGTTTTCTGCTAGTTAGTTAGAGATAAAGAGTCTCATGAACTTTGTGCCAGGGCTGGCTTTGAACCATGATCCTCAGATCTCAGCCTCCTGAGTAGCCAGGATTACAGGCATGAGCCACTGGCACCCAGTGCCTCCCATCTTGAGACTAGAATGATTCAGAGAAACCTGGGGTATGGGTGGGGGTGAGAGGGTAGGAGGCCTGAGCCCTGTCCTTGTCTGTTGGTGGGGATGGAAAAGAAGAGGAAAAGAAGGAAACAGAGCAGCTGGAGGGGGAGGAGGGAAGGGGCTAGAAGAGGCAGCTGGCAGGCAGGAAGATGATCTGGGGGTCTCAAGTTTCTTGACATCAATTAGAACAGCCGGTCTAGGCTCATTAGTAGCCTGGGGTGCGGGGCTCATCAATAATGAATTCACCCCACACACTGCCCCCCCCCAGCTCCCTGCAAGGTCACCCCGCCCTCCAACCAGCTGCCTCCCCACAGTATACTAAGCAACCTCTCTTCTGAGGCCTCCCTAACTCAGAGCCCCTGGGGCCAGTGTGGGAGAGTGGACAGGCTCTCAGGGCAAAGAGGAGTCTGCGACAGGTCAGCCATGCTGGCCCACAGTCTTGTCTGAGAGTCCCCAGGAAAGAGAACAGGAGTAGAGAAGAGGCTAAGAAGAAGGAGGCTTCCTGTCATGAGTCCATTTGGATGGTGGCAGGTCAGATTCAGAAGAAGACAACCTCCTCATCTGATGGGCTAAGAGGCCCTACATCCTCCCTCAAGGCCAAATATGAGCAGCAAGGTCAAACTCCCTCAAGATCTCTGGGTCATAACAAAATCAAGGCATTGGCAACACAGCATTCTCTTGCCCTTGAACTAGAGAGGTATATCTTGGCAGGTGCAAGAACAGAACTTTTCTTCAAACCAGCTTCAATAGAGGTTGAAGATTGAGATTACCCAGGCCCAGAAATAGGAACCCGAACTTCCTGCAACTTAACTTGGCCACGTCACCCCAACTTCCCTCCAGAACCCACAGATGCCAGTCTTCTTTCCTCCTTGAAAACTGTTCCAAAATTCTAGTCAGTCACACTACCCTTCCCAGACTTCTTCCTCCCTGACTCCACCTTCCCCAAGCCCCAAACAGTTCCAATTCCTGGGTCACACCCCTTTTTCCCTCTGGCTGGGGTTGGCCTCAAGCTGGTGGCTTGGCATTCTGGGAAATCTGCCTGCCACCCTCCCCTTTTGAGGCAGGTACTGACAGGCCCAAGCTGTAGCAGCTTCTTCCCCAGACGCCTCTCAGACGTGCAGACTTCAGCCTCACGCTGAGGCCTCCGTGGCCAACCTCCAGCCCAGACACCCTGTTGGTCTTTGTCAGACCTTAGAACACATCCGGGTGTCCTGAGTACCCTCTCCCTGCCCTTCTTCCCAGCTTTGCTTCCTAGCCTTTCCTCCACCTCACCAGTGCTGTTCAATCCAACCTCTCCTTGGTGGGGAAAGCTCAGAATGTAGTCCCTGGGTAAGATGCACACACACACACACACCTCAACCCAAATCCAGGGCTTCTCGGTGCCTCCTGCCTCCTGGGTCTGTCATCTTTCAAATGCCCTAATGATCTGTTACAAGCTTTTATTTCCACCTCTTCAGAACCATTGATTTCTAGTCTCTTCACTCAGAGCTGCCCTAAGGGCCAGAGGTCAATCTGGAGTCCCATCTTCTACCCTCCATTTCACCTCTGAGACAGGAGACAGCCCCCCTCCCTCCCCAGGAGTCCTGCTCCAAAGCCAGAAAAACAAACTAGGAGCCCAGACATTCCCTGCTGCACCTCCTCTGCCCTCAGCCCCATCCCAGCCAGCCTCTCAGAAAGGGACCCTCCCCACTTGTCCCACCCCGTCCTACCCCCAGGCTTCATCTCTCCCCAGAGTGCAGAAGCATAGGCGACTTGCAGCCCTCCGACTCAGCCCCTCCCGGGAGTCCCTGGCATCTCGGTTTCCCAGCCTTCTCCATCACCCTGCGCCGTTTCCTGGATGCCGTGTCCTTCCCTCCCGTCTCCCCAGCCCGGACTGCAGAGGTCCGGGGAGGGGGGGGTAACAATCCCGAGGGTGGGAGCGGCCAGGACCCCGGCGGGCCCGAATCCCCCACTCCTCGGGCTCGGGCCTTCACCTGCTCCGGGCCCCGCCCCCGGCCCGCCCCGGGCCCCGCCCTCTCCAG